CGGGCACCGCCGGGGCCCCTCTGCCCACCCAACGGGCGCTCTGTGCTCCGTGGGAGCTCCCGTCTGTCTCTGTGGTCCGTGGGAGGTCCCACCCTTCTCTGTGGCCCTCAGGAGGTCCTCTCTGTGGTCCATGGGATGTCCCATCCATCCCTGTGGTCCATGAGAGGTCCCACATGTCTCTGTGGCCCCCAGGAGTTCCTCTCGTGTCTCTGTGTTCCATGGGAGGTCCTGTCTGCCCACCCAGTGGGTGCTCTGTGGTCTCTGGGAGGTCTTCTCTGCCCACCCAACGGGGTGCTCTGTGGTCCATGGGAAGTCCCCCCCATGTCTATGGCCCCCAGAAGGTCCTCTGTCTGTCTCTGTGGTCCATGAGAGGTCCTCTCTGTCCACCCAGCAGGGTTCTCTGTGGTCCATGGGAGGTCTCCTCTGTCTCTGTGATCCATGAGATAGATGATCCATGTCTCTATGACCCCCAGGAGGTCCTCTCTGTCCACCCAACAGGGTTCTCTATGGCCCATGGGAGGTCCCACCCATCTCTATGGTCTCCGGGAGGTCCCTCCCATCTCTATGCTCTGTGGGAGGTCCTTCCTGTCCACCCAACAGGGTGCTCTGTGGTCCACAGGGTGTCCTCCACCCACCCATCCCCGCTCTCCGTGGCCATGGAAGCCCCTCTCCACCCCCCCAGGCTCCCATGGAGCCCCCTGACTCCAGGAGGGGTTATTTTGGTGACCGTTGCCAAAATCCCAGTGGGGACACTGGTGCCACCTGTGGCTCTGCCACCTCCTCCTCCCACGGCGGGGGGACCCAGAACCTGCTCCTCCTCCTCCTCCACCCCTGCCTTGGGGCCGGTGTCCCCGGGGATGGAAATGGGGACACGGGGGGACAATTTGGGGTGTCACAAAGGGGGGTGCAGGGACCACCCCCCCCCAGGGGCCGGGAGCTCAGGAGGGATTAAAGCTGGGCTGGGTGCAGGATCCGGGACAGCAGATTAATCCGGGGCTGGGGGGGACACAGGGGGGCTCTGCCCTGCCCTGACTCCCTAAGCCCAAAGCCGTTTTTTAATTGAAACCCCGATTCCTCATTAAGTCCCTCATTAAAGAGCATCCTGCACCCCCTCCCTCCTCCCAGTGCCGCTGCCGAGGGGGGGCTCCCCCCTCGCTGTTTTCCCTCCCTCGCTGTTCCCCCCCACTCTCGCTGTTGCCCCCCCAAGCCCCCCTGGCCGGGCGGTGCCAACCCCGGCTGCATTTTTCCGGGCTGCGTAATTCCTCACCATCGGCTTTTATGGGCAGTGCTGGAGCCGGGGAGGAGCCTCAGGGAGCAGGATCCGGCCCCACCAGTGCCCAGGTGCCCCCCCCGAGGTGGCAGCAGGGTCAGGACCCCCCCTCACTGCCCCCCACCCCCCGCTCCGTGTCCCCAGTTCGGGGCCGTCCTTGTCCCCCGGGTGGGAACCGGAGCTCGCATCCTGGGAGTGCCCCCCGGGAGTGCCCCCCGTGATGGGCACAACGGCAAGAAACGCCTCCCACCCCCCCAAAAAAAACCCTAAAAATCGGAGGAGTGATTAAAACACCCCCAAATTCGGGGGTGGGGCACCGCTGCGACCCCCGGGCCGGGCCGGGGCAGGACGTGGCCATGTCCCCGCGTCCCCCCGTGGCTCTCCCGGCCTAATCCCTGACGTCAGCCCGGCAGATCGGGCCGGCAGCTGGCACCGGGCACTGCCCGGCCATGGGGGTGCCCTGCCCGGCCCCCCGCACCCCTGCCAGGCGTTCAGCTTTAGGGGCAGGCAAAAAAAACACCCCCGGGATTTACCCCATTTCTGCTGGTGGGTGTGGGTCCCGCGCCGCGGTTTGGGGATTAGTGGGGTCGGGGAGGGGGGTTGTCCCCACGTGAAGGGAGTTGTGCCCGTTCTCAGCCGGCCATGGGAAGCCCCCCACGGGTGCTGTGGGTGCCCCCCAACACTTGGAGCTGCTCCCACCCCCCCTCCTCCCAGAGCCCAGCCAGGTGCTTCCCAGGGGTGGGAGCAGGGAGCTGCCATCCCGGGGGGGCACAGCCGGCCCCCCGTGGGGTCCACGGAGCCCCTCTGCGTGCCGGGCCGGGGGGCCGGCCCTATAATGGGACCGCCCTATAGCGGGGAGGGGTTCGCCCCGATCCGGGGGGCCGGCCCTATTGCTGGGGGTGTCCACCATGGTCTGGGGGGCCGGCCCTATAGAGGGACCGCCCTATAGCTGGGGGGGGTCCACCACGGTCTGGGGGGCCGGCCCTATAGTGGGACCGCCCTATAACTGGGGGGAGTCCATTCCGATCGGGGGGGGCGGTCCTGTAGTGGGACCGCCCTATAGATGGGGGGCTGAGTGGTCCACCCCTATCCGGGGGGCCGGCCCTATAGTGGGACCGCCCTATAGCTGGGGGGTCCACCACGGTCTGGGGGGCCGGCCCTATAGTGGAACCACCCTATAGCTGGGGGGGGGAGGTCCACCGTGGTCTGGGGGGCCGGCCCTATAGTGGGACCGCCCTATAGCGGGGGGGTCCACCACGGTCTGGGGGGCCGGCCCTATAGTGCGACCACCCTATAGCGGAGGGTCCGCGCCGCACCGACCCCTCCCCTCCGTGCCCGCAGGTGCGGGAGATCCTGGGCTGCTGCTCCTGCCCCTCGCAATTCCCCATGGTCAAGGTGTCCGAGGGGAAGTACAAAGTGGGAGACTCCAACACGCTCATCTTCGTCCGAGTAAGAGCCCCCGCGTCCCCCACCCCATTGTCCCCCCGAACGCCGGGACACCCCCCGCTCCTCCTCCCATCCCGAGGGACCCCGAGCTGGATTTCCTGCCCACCTCGAAGTCCTGGGGGGCTGGTGGTGGCTCTGCGGGCCCCCCCGAGGAGGGGGGACGGGCAGGGTGACAGTGGGGCCGCCCCCAGGTGCTGAGGAGCCACGTCATGGTGCGCGTTGGTGGCGGCTGGGACACACTGGAACATTACCTGGACAAGCACGACCCGTGTCGCTGTGCTGCCCTCTGTGAGTGCCCCCGGGACCCCCCACACCCCCACCCTGTGCCCCCCGCCTTGGCACGGTCTGCCAGTCCTTGTTCTCCTTGGGACCCCATTCCCTGGTTCTCTTCCGGGTCTGTTCCCTGGCTTTCCATGGGGGTTTGTTCCCTACTCCTCCATGGGGTTCTGTTCCATGGGTCTCCATTCCCTGATTCTCCGTGGGGCCCTGTTCCCTAGTTCTCCATGGGGCTCCATTCCTTGGCTCTCTTTGTGGCCCCATTCCTTGGCTCTCTCTATTCCCTACTTCTCTGTAGGACTCTGTTCCATGGGCCCTCATTCCCTGTCTCTCTTTGGGGCTCCATTCCCTGGTTCTCCATGGGGCCCCATTCCCTATCTCTCTTCCTGGGGCTCTCTTCCATGGGGCTCCATTCCCTTGTTCCCTGATG